AGAGGTGTGGAGGGTGAAGGGGTGGGGGGGGGGCTGGCGAGGGAGGGCTTGATCTGCAAAAAGAAACTTCCCCTTTTAGAAATGCCATTGTATTTATGAGAAGAAGAGCTCTTCATACAGAGACAAGTATTTGGCATTGGACCCTTGGTCTCTGGTGGCAGAGCACTGGCAAACTCGTGACACCTCTCTGCCAGTTCAGAAAGCTCCTGGCTGGTTGTCTCCGGCCCAGCAGCGTCAGAGGGACGGGCTGGTGGAGCTGCAGCGAAGGGTGACCCATCACTTGGATGTCCTCCCTCGCTGGCACCCACCGTGGCACCAGCAGCCTCGTCCGATGTGGTGTCCCCACATGCCGTCCTCTTTTGACTTCACCTCTTTCTCCTTCTCCTCCTAGATTCCCCTTCATCGGGTGATGATGAAGATGACGACGATGAGTCAGAAGATACAGGTAATTTGTTTTTCTGGGACACAGAGGCCTTTTCTTTCAAAGAGAGGTGGCTCCCAAGTGGAGCAGCTCATCTGGATGTTCAGACAGTAGGTCTTTGTCCATGTTGAAGTTGGTGACCTTAGGATGGGGAGGGCAAACTCTCTGGACCTGGTACCGTGATGATGTTTATCTAGAAATTTAGAAATAGCTGCCAGTGTGGTATCGCTGCTATAATATCTTACAGCAGCAGTAGCATGATTTATTTTTTTTCAGACTTGATTCTGCGAATCTGACTTGATGAGCTGGAGTTATAAATTCCGCTTGCGTGTAAATCCAGACAAACCCATGTACCTTTTTTTTTTTTTACACTACACTGACGTTACACCAGTCTTACACCATTGCAGACCTTGGCCTGTTTTATTTTTAACCACTTTGATTCTGGTCCTTACCAGCATCTTGGCTGGAGAAGAGCATAAAATTTACGCTAGCCAAGGGCCAAATTTACTCATGCCATAAGGGGGAGCAGCCCCTTTGGCTTTACTTTTTTTCTTCCGCTCACATGGGGAAGGGAGCCCCAGGACAGAGCCTCTCGGTGCTTTAACACTGAAACACTTTCAATCCTAGTGCTTGTTTCTTTAAGTGCAATAGCACTAATCAGGATCATTACATGCTTCAGAGGCATTAGTGTTTTATTCTATTATACTCTTTATGTTTCTGCAAAGCGAGCTGCCTGTGTGTATGTGTTTTTAATAAATAAACGTCTTGCATTTGAACTCCCAATCAGCTATGTACATTGGCAGACGTTCAACATGACTGGAAAATTTCTCCTGCCCGTAGCGTTGGACATGCAGGACTCCTTAAAACAGGTCTCCCACTGTAATAAATTTGCACCGCTGTGTCGTGCAGCATGCGGACAGTAATAGCAAGTTACAGTGCCAGGCGACCCATCGGCAGAAGTTAGCGGTTTTCTGACAGCTTCTAATTAAGGGCCTGATCCTGCGAGGTGACAAGCACGTTGCAGAGGTGCTCAGGGCTCCTGATGTCTACTAAGGCCTGGTAGAGGCATAGGGAGGGTCAGGTTTGGTCAGGGTTTGTTCCTGCTGCAGAGCAGCTTCTGATGAGCACAATTAGTCATTCTGTACATTTTTTTTATGTGGTTTGTACTAAACTCCATCTCTTAGCAACAGGTATCAAGAAACATCAGCTAGCTTATGGTACAGAAAGACACGTTTTTCTTCACTGAAAAGGAAAACACACGTTTCGCCACATGTATTTATAGCCTGTATTCTGGGTCTTCATGACTTCAAGGCTGTCTCTATTTTTAGACCCGAAGGTAACCACTGATTTGCTTAAAGGTCTCGTTATAAGAAATTGGCTTCTCTTCTCCTTAAAAAACGGTTGATTAGCCAGTTGTGCCAGCACAGTGAAACCTTATGGCATGTCGTGATGTGGATGGGCTTTATGTTGCTCTGTTTGACGTCAGACCCTCCAGTTAACCTTCACAGATCTTCTCGTGAGTCTGGGGAGTTGTGTTGTTAACCCCGGCACCGCAGCTGCTGGGACATCCCACCAGGGACAGGGGCTGCAGGACCATCCTGGGCAGGCGGACACGTGGGTGTAGCCTGTGCCATGTCCTATGGGCAGCCGAAAGACCTGCATCCTCCAGCTCTTGTGGCAGAAAGATACCCCACTGAAGGGGTGTATGAGGCCCTGCTTGGCCATCAGACATAGCCGTGGTCAGTAGTTCAGGTGAGGCAATAAGCACACCTTCATGCAAAAGAGGAATATAGCCAATAGTTATTCATATTTAGGGGAAGGTAATCCACTCAGGACTGGCACATCGTATGTTGGCATATTGCACATCACTGAATAAAAACCTTGTCTCCTGGCCCCTTGCGATGATATGTGAATTTTCCGGCTTACTTGTGTTATTCAAGAGAGTTTCTTATCATATTTTTAGAGAAGAGCTCAGAGAGCTGATTCTGATAATATCAGGAGTTTGAAGCCAATGTGGTGAATTTGGGGGTTTTTACTCAAGATTGTTGAACAATGGGAGCTGGAAATACCAAAGCAGGAGAAGGAGAGGGTATCTGTCCTAAAAGAAATAAATATTTGGTGCAGAAACACTTGGAGAGCACAGAGGCAGGCCCTCTACGTGGAGTGCCTGGCTCCGCTCACCCTGCTTTAAGCATCCTTTCTGAAGGGCAGTACAGAAACGGGGCGTCCTTAGGGATGAAAAGAAGAACAAAGAACTTGAGCAGCTTCAAATCATCGGCCCGTTTCTTGCAGCCTTGTCACAAACTGTGATCTGCCTTTGCGAAAAGAGGCTTTCCAATACCTCTGTTCTCTACAGCTGTTTTTCCTGGCCCTGAAACAAAAACAAAACTCCCTTTTCACACACTGCTCTTCTGCCCCAGCACTCCCTACCCCTCTGTATCTGTTTGTTTGGAGCCCCCGCTGCGTAGCCCCAGCACCTTCAAAGAGCCCCTATAATCTCCAATTAAATCTGGCTGTGTACTCAGAGGCGTCAGCTGGGGAAATTACACAATTAGGGTTGATTCTGTCTGCCGCAGAATTTTGTGGCAGCTCCTAATTGCTAAGTGAGCGCTTGGCTGTATTAATTATTCCAGTATTGCTCTTGGTTTTTTTTAATTGGTCATTCCAGTCGGATGGGTGGCCGGTGTCTTTGACGAACAAAACGGACCGTCGGACTTAGTGTTTGATGATGGGAGAGGGCTTGTGGTAATGTTTGCGGCTCCCTTTTTTTTCACACCTGCGCATGCAGAATCATTGCTTGCAATTAATTTAGAGAGAGCGGGTCTAGAAGTTTTTCCTGTCTTTCCTCCTTCCTCGCTCCCAAAACTCTCTGGAGCTTTGCAGGCTTTGCTTGAAAAGAAGAGTTAGCAACATTTTCATCCCCTTAAAAAGCAGTAATGAAAGGACTCTGGCAGCACAGCAAACCGAAAGCGGTCAGGTTTTGTTCGCTGCTCCTGCGCGTGAGAACAAAGGCACCGTTTGCAGTGTGTAGACGCTCTCTTCCAGTTCCAGATCGACTTGAGAGCGATGCTCTGGTTGTTTGGGTCCTGGCATGTTAATCCAGGGGTCCCCAGCCCTAGCAAGCCCCAAATCACATGGAAGAGCACCCAAACAGAGGGGAGGCTCTAGGAGAAGAAGCCATGTCTAACTGCAGGAGGGAGGAGGGGATCCTGCCTTTGCTCCATATGGAGAATATCCCCGGCTGGAAACTTTCCTGGGCCCCATCTTGCTCCTCTCTGATGTCCGATGGCAAAATCCCCCTTGGCTTCAGTGGCAAAATTTGCAGCCAGCGGGCTGATGGGTCTCCTGTGAGATTCATACTCATCTTTTGAGTGAGAAAACATGGTGAAACCTCGCCCCGCAGCACACATAGCTGATGTGGAAGGGGGAAGACACCCTGAAAGCATAGCGCAAGGAGGAGCCCAGTCCTGGCAGGGCAGCCGTGCAATCTAGTTATACCCCCATGCCCGGGTCAGTGTCACCGACACCAGAAAATGGGATTTGTTGTAGGCAGATACATTAATCAAACAACAAACAGCAGGTTATTTGGCTGCCCTTCTTAGCTGTGGTAAACTGGGACTTTTCCATCCATGCCTGGCCTTGTCCTGAACTCTCCCCTGTAGCCTCCTGTAAAGTCCCCAGGAATTCCGGGTGCCTTGCCAAAAGGAAGCGTTCAGCCAGAAAATAGCCCGTGCTTCGGAAACCAAGGACCAGATGTCTCCCAACATGGTTTCTGCAGCTCCCTCCTCTTCAGCCTTCCCACCACCACCCCAGCTGTCCTCCTCCAGATTCACCCATCTGCTGCTGCCTGGGCTTTCGCCCAGCCTTTGCTTGGTCTCTGCCCTTCCCAATGCATGCGATAGCAGCATCTTCCTTCACCATCAAGACCTGCTCTTCCTGAGGTTGCACCTCACTCTTCTAACAATTTTTGCAATATTCCCCCCTTTTTTGTCCAGTTCTTCACCATTTTTCTAAGCTTAGGTATGGGAAGGTAGATGGTTACGTGGTGTCCCGCTTTAGCCCGTGTTCTGTGTAGCATTTGAGGCCTCTCCTGGATGTGCTGTGTGTTCACATTGAAGTTTGCTATAGCCAGGATTTTGCAGGAGCACGGGAATTCCTCCTTTTGCTTTTGTTTGTGCCAGCCGTACTCCTGCTCTGTTGCCATCCCAGGAAGAAAAGGGCCTTAAGCAGTTTCGTTGTTTGAAAAATGAGGTGCACGCAGCATAGGTGAGCACCAGATCCCTCTGATACGTGGAGCTGACTCTGATAGGCATCGCAGCTTGTTGTGCAAGGCAGTCTGAGGGCAGACGCAAGCCCTCAGTACTGGATTTCCCTCCCTGGGACGGCGTTACTGAGGCACCTACATCCAGCCTTCCGGCTGCAGAGGTGTGAAAGCAGATGAGACACGAGAGCAATGTGCCCAGTGGGTCTCTCTCCAGCAAACAGAGAGCTTGCTGGATGTAGCTCCTGACATGCTGTTCCTCATGGCCAGGTGGCCTTCATAAGGAGTCATGGGGAGAGGGGAGCATGAGGAGAGTGTTAGCAGGTGCTAGACAGCAGTGGGTGCGTGGATTGCCTTGGCTGAGCTATATGACCTTGCCTTTAAAATCCTTGGATCTGAAATGCAGCAGGGAGCCAGCATGGGGGATGCTGGGAACTTAGACCAAGTTGGGGTCATCACTGACTTACCTGGAATTGCAATGGGATGAGTCTTGTGGAGCCAAACATGTTGGGGCTAAGTACTTTAGGGAGCACTGGAGAAAGGGAGATGCTCGGGTGCATCTCAGAGGGATGCAACGAGAGAGAAAACTTTATACACCCTTGTCATTAAGGGGAAGGGGTTACAGAGGCTTCAGAGTAGCACTTAGGTGGGGCTGTGATGCTGGGTGATGTTTCTGAGCATTGTCACCAGTGCGGGAGAGGCCAGCAGCGATGCTTTCCTGACAGCTTTGGCAGCCATCATATTCTCCAAGGCAGTTCTTGAAGGACCAGCACCTTCAGCTTGTCTTGACCAGAAGGACACAGGTCTCTGCGACCGGTGGGTTTGGGTACTCTGTCAGTGGATGCTTCCTTCCCATCTGGAGGAGATGCCAGTTACATTCCTTGGCCTCCTCTGGGCTATTTTGCAGCCCGAACGCCATCTGTCCCCATCTCCCTTTGGCCTCGGTGTGAAGCACGGAGCTGGAGGGCTGGATGTGGCCCCCAACGTGGTGGTGGACGCACCCCATGTGCAGCTCTGCAGTGTTTCCTTAAGCAGAAATGAAAGCTTGGGAGGCTTTTTTAAAAAACTTTCTCTGCCTTTCTTCCCAGTATAATGAGTTTGCTGCTGCTGCCTTAATTTGGAGTTAATATGTAATGTCTGTAACACAGCCAAGACACATCGCTGTACTTGAGGCAGATTATAAAAAGTATCTCATGCTAACACTGGTGTTTTAAAACTTATCCCTGTTCAAAGGTAACATGAATCTTTAAAACTGAAATCACTTGTACTTAAAGAACATAAACATGATAAACCAGTTTGGCACTGGCTTTTTTTCTTTTCCTTCCCTTAAGGAGGCTACACTACTTTTGTGCTCACTGAGAAGCAAAATTTTCCAGTACACTCAGCTAACACTTTTTCTCTGCTCCCTTGCTGGCCCATCGACATTTTTTAGAGTTCCAACATCTTTCTGCTGTTCACGCTTCTTGGCTACTATTGTCCCGAAGGTACATCTGTATCTTTTTACACGCTGAGGCCAGATTCTCATCCTGGTCTGGGATAACTCTCTCTGTTGATTTAAAAGCAGCTACTCTAGATTTATACTGGCATTACCAAGACAAGAACCTGGTCATGAACCTTTCATCACAAACTGAAAATGCAAACACCCTGTCTACGTCTATGAGAGTCTTTTAGCTGGAAAGCATTTCTGTGTCATTTGTCTTAACTGCAGCAGGTAGCAATTTAACTGTCATTCGGCACGCCAAAGCCTCCTCAAATGCATCTGCTCACCAGCTGATACCCTCCGCGGCAGAAACAGGCCTGTTCAATTTGGTCTGTCCTTTCTCAGGTGTCCCCTTCTGGACCCGGCCAGATAAGATGGAGAAGAAGCTACTGGCAGTTCCCGCCGCCAACACCGTTCGCTTCCGATGTCCGGCGGGTGGAAACCCAACTCCTTCCATCTACTGGCTGAAAAACGGCAAGGAGTTCAAAGGAGAGCATAGGATTGGGGGCATCAAGGTAAGGCCTTGATTTGGATCTCTGTTTTTATCAGGAGTTTTCTACCAACTGTAGAAAATTGTGTTTCACAGTGATTACCATTGGTACGTGGAAGAGCATGGTCCCAGCTACTGGGGAATGGGGGTGTTTCTCACAGCCTTAGCAGTTGCTCGACACCAAAGTGTTAAAAAGGGCTGCTGTCCCTTGGGATTGAGGGCTAAGTCCCTATGGGTTTGTCTATACTGGTCATTCAGGAACTAGGTAAAAATGAGGCTGGGTTTATGGTTGCATTGTGGACAGCAATGAGAAAGCAGGAGCAGAAACTTCTGTTCTAATTTCTGGAGATCAGCCCGGTGCGTTCAGACGTGTTAGACTGAGCCGTAGCTACTCGCAGCTTTCAAGGAAAATGAACTCAGCAGCCTTTGAAGGTGCAGGAAGATTCAGACGCGTTAGACTGAGCTGTAGCTACTCCCAGCTTTCAAGGAAAACGAACTCAGCAGCCTTTGAAGGTGCAGGAAGGACCTCACCAAAGAGCTGGACCGTCGTGCTGGTGGCCATTAACATTCTTGTGGTATAAATCACTGACCCTTGGTCAGATGTTGGGTTGCCTTGTAGACAGAGTAATAGCATCTGCTCCTTGGCTGCTTTCTTCTCCCTCCTTCCTGTCTACCAGAAGGTGTTCTGGAAAATGTTCTGGCTTGAGCCAGAGAGAGCTAAGGGATGCAAACCCCCACTGCACTCCAGTGTTTTAATTAGCCAGAAGTTTCTGTGCTACTGTATGTGACGAATTGTGGCAGGATTTTAACAGGAAAATAAGCTCTGCTCTGATTATTTTGTCGTTATTACTTTGTCCTCTTGAGTCAGACTCCTTCCTGGTTTTATCTGGGGAGAGTAGAACTGGCAGCAGCTGATTATAACAAAATCAGCGTAGCAGGAAAGACTCCTGAGCAGTGATTTTTCCTTGCACTCTGCCCGCCCTGGTGTATCCCTGAGCTACTGCTACGGAGAGAAGGGTGCTTTTTAGGAAGACACCTTCATCAGTCCGCTGAATGGCTCGGTGCTGATGCCTACCACATCTGTCGCGCTTAGGAAGAGGGCTAGGCATGCAAAGAGTGCCGGGCTCCAGAAAGCAGAAAAGGATTCAAAGAAGTCTTCCCTCCCCGCAGTTTTGGGCTGTTTCTTTCCTGTTAGCTCAGACCCGTTCCTGAAAGAGACTTTTGTGATTGCTCCAGTGAAGCCTTTGAAGCTCCCTCCGCAGCCCTGTCCCTGCTCCAGCCTGGACGAGCCTGAGGATCAGGTTTAGATCTTCTGAAAAGTTAAGGAGAGAAAAGAAGCGAGGAAGCAACTCCTGTGGGTAAACAGCCTTTCAGCAGATGACATTCACAGAGCGCAAGCATCTTTTACTAATTGCAGGCTGTAAGGATCATCATGAAGTGTTTCAGGCTTGCGTGCGCCGTTCGAGCAGCTTTTTACAAAACTATGTGACATCAGCTGCACTAAATTATGCTTGCAGAATAAAATCTGAAGCTGAAAGCAATTCCCCTACCCACTCCCCAGTGGTTTTAATCTATCCTTGAGTTTAAATTGACACGTTTCATCCTCTGCAACGCGGTAGTGAGTCTTTGGCATCGCTGTGCTTTCTTCCTCTAGGGGCACCTTCCAGCAACAAGCCGGTGCTTAAAGAGCTGTTGAAGGCAATGTCAGACCAATTACAGCAAGATTGGTTTAAGCTCTCTATCTGTCTAGGTGTAGTTCTTTGTCCCTTTCTTGATATAAAGACATCTTTCTCTCTCTGTAATTTTCCTTCCCTTATTCACTCGCTTTTGCCCTTGAGCCGTGGTTAAATGTAAGTAGTCTAATGTAAATCTCATCCAGGATAAATATACTGATGGATATCAGAGATCTGAACGAGAAGGAGTTTGAAAACCTGCTCAGTATCTCATGTATTTAAGATTTAAATTCCCTGTTACAGCTTAGCTTCATAACAGGATTAGGCAGCTTGAAAAGAATGGACAAGATCCAGATCTGGCAGAGTTTGGTTAGCTTACTCCATCTCGAGAACTGGTCTGAACCCAGAAATCCTTGAGCTGGGGAATGTTCTCATTTGTTTTCAGCGTGTGGAAGAGTTTAAACGTTGATTGTGAAAGGTCTGTTGTCAGCAGATGAAAGCTGACCACTCTTCCACTTCTGCCTCTTGCGAATGGCATTTAGATCCCATGTGATTGCCTGGTGTAAAGTCTGCAAGACAGAAGGGCAAGTGTTGAAAACATGAAGTCCAGGCTAACCTAGTTCTGTTACAGTTCATCCTTAACTGGTAGAGAGAAGAAATTCATATGACTTATCATATGAAATTTCCCAAAGAGCATTAATGGTTAAATCCGTGTTGGAATCTGTAATATCGTAAGCCTGTGTGTGTTAAATGACCCTAGAAGGGAAGACGGAGGGGGCGGGGAGGTAGAGGATTATCCCTTCCCCAGACCATTGCACTGACTGCATACCAGTCTGGCAAACACGGACTGAGGTTCCAAGTGTGTCTGCAAATGTTTGTTTCACAAGGAGCCAAGAATGACAACACCAAATAAACCAGAGGGATTTCCAGTATCTCACCGGCTTGGTTAGTGCCTGCACTAAGTCACTTCATGTTTCTGGTGTTCTACCGAGTACTGCGACTGTCCTAGCTTAGGAACACCACTTTTTATTATCCTTTAAATCCAGACACTAGTCTCAACCTGAAAAAAAAAAAATCTTATTGCTTCCAAACATGTTCTGCCCCCGTGAGTTTGTGCCTCCCAGGTTCACGTCTCTGTTCAGAGTCCAAAGTCCCCATCACAAACTCAACAAAAAGAAGTTATTTGAAAGTACTACGAAAGTGTCTTTGAAAGTACATCTTGAGTAAAACACCTAGTTTGGACCTGAGTTTATAATACAGGTCAGACTAGGGACTCATCCATGTATCTGGAGCCCCATTTCCTTGGAGTAGCTTCTAGGGGTTCCAGAAGCAAATGCTTTGCAATGCTGAGAAGTGGATTAAAAGAAGTCTTTAGACACAGCTCCCAGAGAAGCCAGTATGGAAATGAGCCACTGAGCAGCCACAAATTTGCTCTGAAACTTCCTCGATAGTCTGGTATGTTCAGCTGTGAGCTCGGGGTCCAGGCTCCCCGTTCTCGGCTCGTCTCTTACCCTGGAAGTGCCATGCTGTTCCAGAGCTGCAGCGACTGGGATGCTGCTTTACAGAAGGTGTAAGGGTGGGTCTGCACTGAGCTCCCTGTGTGTCCTGGGTGAGCAGAGGGTGCAGTCGGATCCGGCCAGAGATCTGAAATGACCGAGATTTCTGTACAGACGGTTTAGCCACAGCCTCCTATTACCTATAACCTGAAATGAAAGAAAATGCTGTATTCAGTGGCCTCTGAAAAGGGGGGTGCTCAGCAGTGCTATTGCCGGGCACACGGAGATCTGCAAAGCAAGGGGCGTTGTTAAAATGGCTTTTGCTTGCTTATCGTGCAACTAGGCTGTCTAGTCCTATGACTTTAAACCTTCTCTTTGCAAAATTTGGGCTTTAATTGCAACTTGGCCCTTTAAAGGAAAGCATGTGGATGCAATTTAAGTGTAGCAAGAGAGGTTAAATGACTTCATATTTGAGTTCACCTGCTGCAGCAAGAAACCTCCAGGAGCAATTATGCCCTTGTTTTTTCGATCAGCCCTTGACATTCTGTAGTAGAGTGTTATTGTAAGCTCCTGCTTTTGTGTCCTTGGAGTCACCTTCAAAATGTTTAATAAAGTTAAATGTTCTGCTCTGGGCGGCAGAAGGCATCAAATTAATATCCAGAGATTTGGAGAGCTTTCATACACTATGCATCCTGAACTCATCTCTGTTAGTGTTGGTTGCTTTATATATTAATTCAAGATTTGCTTTCCATATGCATTATTTCCTTTATACGCATTAGAAACAAACGTTCTAGCTGGGGGCACAGGGCAGCAGGTCAGGGTGGAGACATGGGTTGTGCTTTCCCTTCTACTACTGAACAACCAACAACTCTGGACATGAGCCACATCCAGAAAACCAACCAGTGTGAAACTGGGTGACAGACGAGAGGGGCTAACCAGGCATCCTAGGGGCCAGACTTGAGGCCAGGCGTGTTTTCTCCTGTTCATTACAGGGACTTTAGGGGACGAACTCAGCTCTAGACACCCATTTATGTTCAGACATGTGCCATGCCCTGTTGCCTTCATAGCACTCATCTTTAAAATATGTTACAGATAGGGGAAGGAGTAAGATCTTTATTGTTTCTAGTCATTTTATGGGTTACGTGTAGCAGTTGGTGAAGATCTGCAGCTGAGAGTATGACATTTTGAGCTGACGGAGTCTCTGGACCAGAGTGGTTTGGCAGAGGGGATCAGCAGATCAGTTACCTTAGCTGATGCCTTCTGAAGGTGTTATTCTGATGAGAGGTGCCACATTCAGCTGTCAGCTGGTTTCATTATTGTTGTTGTTATGGAAGCATCTACAAGTCCCTGTTGCAATCTCAGAGTGTTACATTGTGTTGCACTGTTCATGCATTGGTCTTAATTCCCTTTCACATTAAGCCTTTAATGACCCTTGAAATGGGTCCTTGTGATGTTCAGGCCTACTCTGGGGTCCGTTCGTGCTGGCCAAGTGGGTAGAAGTTCACTGATTGTTCACTGATTTGAATGGTCTGGTGATGATGGCACTTGACCACAGGCTTGATTTCTTGTTCTAGTTGCGACACCAACAGTGGAGCTTGGTGATGGAGAGTGTTGTGCCGTCAGACCGAGGAAATTACACCTGTGTCGTGGAGAACAAATATGGCAATATTAGGCACACGTACCAGCTTGACGTATTAGGTGAGATTTCACCGTTTTCTCTCTACAGCTGCTCTGTGGTGATGCTGAACAGGCGCATGATGGGATATGGGAAGCAGGAGCTTGGTTTCTTTCCTAAAGAACTGAATCATGCATCTTCTGAAATCAACAACAAGCTTCCTTTTGGCCAACATTTCGGCCTCAGATCTGTGATCAGTAAATTACTTAGCTGGTCTACAGAGGGGCCAGAAGGAAGGGCAGGGCTGAGAAGATGCCTCCTCCATTCCCAAGTGGTTCTTCTCTGTTTGGCTTGAGAAGCACTGGGTAGAGTGGTGACCAGGGCACCCAAGGGGGGGACAATTCCAGTCTGCACGCTTTCTGCTGAAAAGCCAGGAGGTGAAGGGTTCAGAGGAGAATCCTTGCTGTAGGAAGGATGGGTAAATTAGGATTTGCTTCTCTTCTCTGTTTTTCAGAAAGGTCACCCCACCGACCAATCCTACAGGCAGGGCTCCCTGCCAACCAGACCGTGGTGGTAGGGAGCAACGTGGAGTTTCACTGCAAGGTCTACAGCGATGCCCAGCCCCACATCCAGTGGCTGAAACACGTGGAAGTCAACGGCAGCAAATATGGACCCGATGGAACACCCTATGTCACGGTGCTGAAGGTTGGTACGCGCTCGTTCTTCTCACGTGCTGCAGAGTCCTTCCTCTCTCTTGGTCTTGGTGTTACAGAGATGGCAGCTACATTGTGGGTATGCTCCTCAGAGAAACCCACTGCCATACGCATGGCAAGAGAGATCAGCACTGAGTAAAGCTGCTTGCCATCAATGGAAGCCATGAACTTTATTTACGTGTTTATAAATAAGCCCTAGATTAGCGGTGCAATGCGAACCAGAAACTACCAACAGCATATGTTCAATGCCACAGTTCCTAGAAGGGTAATCATTACTTACATTGGATTTTTGGATCTTGAGGTCTCATTTTCTGTAATTGTTTTGTGTCCATAAGAAAAAAGTCACGAGAATAAGCCAAGGACAGCTGTTGGGATTGTTCTTTCCTTTAAGCCGGCACAGTGGAATACTCTACTTTTTGGAAGGGGTACAGCAAAAATGTCCTAAAGTCGATGTTCCACACTCTTCTGTTTGCCAGAGATAGCACAACTACTGTAGTGGCACAGATAAGCAAAGTAGTTGTAAGAGCTGAGGCAACTGTGAGAAATGCAGCATAATAAACGAGAAGCTGTCAGATTGCATTTGACCTAAAACTGTAAAAATAACCTTTTTTTACAGCTTCAATAGAGGTATTTTTGGGGCTTGTTAAAATAAAAGGCTCCCAACTAAAACACATTCTTTCCTTTTCCTAGTAAACACACTGCAGCGTGCACGTACTAAATAATGCTGAACTACCAGCACCTGAGAGCCAAGATAGTCTTGTTCCAGCCACTAATGTTTGTGAGCATTGCTATTATCCATGCTCAGAAAAGCCTTATTTTTGACTGAGCAAAAACTCACTCAGTAAGGCTTTGCTTTCCTAAAATGCTTTCTTGAAAGGGAACTTCCAGACTACAGCCGGAACAAAGCCCCTGAACTGATGCAAATACAAAAAGCGGAGAATAGAGAGTGAAAAGCACATTGGACTTCTAAAAGACTTTTTTTTTTCTTTTAATATTTAAAGGCATCCTGTGTTGGTGTTTGTTAATGTATATAGGGCCAAATGGAGATTTTCTGACCCTGCAGTTGTAGCTGAAAGCAGATTTTGTCCCTGCTGTTTCAGGCTGAGGTTGTCCTGTGCATGGACATTCCCTGTGCACATCCTGCTGCACCCACCCTTCTTCTCTTTGTATGAAGTTTTAAAAAAGCCCCACTTATCAGATGGCATCTACAAAACTGTAACGCAGCCAGATACATGATAATAAAAGCCAGAGACCCTGGAAATAATTACACAGATTGAAATAACAGATTGGTTGGAAGAAATGGCTGGAGACAGTTCTTCAGGATTGGCAACACACGCTTCTTGCAAGTTGATAAAACTTTTTATTTTCTCACTGTCTCTCCAAATGTGTTTGAATTATGCATATTTGAATTTCCCCCTGGTTTCACAGCCCAGTAACACGCTCTGAATAGCTGGCTGTGTCACATGCCATCTAGTATAGTCTCCGAGCTCCGTGTGTGGTCCCCGTGGGATAAAGTGCTACCTTTTGGAAGTTTGCAGAGCCGCTGTGAACAGTGCCTTGTGTCACAAGCACAAGCTCCCATTTTGCTGTGGCAAAGAACATATAAATAGTCTGTATAAATAGTGTTTTAAAATTAAGTTGGAGCGGCACCGGGGTGGCTAGGTAATTAGAATTGCCAAATACCTTCTCTTCTGTGGACGGCAAAGGCTCCGCATTCCTCGAAGGGGAGCACAGGCAGGCGTTTGAAAGCACAAGTTTTGTTTGGTTTTATTTTTTTGCTGAATAGGACCAGCACACGTCTATTTACTACTTCTGGTTAATCAGGAATGCTTTGAATTGTATTAATGCCGGCATCAGCGCTGGGGCACGGAGCATTTCCATTTTGGGATGCATCTTTTGTGTGCCAGTACTGGGCCTCCGTGGAGCTGTGCAGGCCCAGCTTTGCCTTTTTTTTTTTCTTTTAACGTGTGTGTGCTTGTTTTTTAAAAATAAAGATCTGATAAACTGATGTCACTGTCATCTTGGGGCCAGTCCGCTGGCTTTGTGGCCTCCTTCCCCTCGTGCCATGCAGTGCTGCTGCTGTGACCCAGCACCGTGGCCGCGCCGCTGGAGCAGGGTGCTGGTACCAGCCCTTCCCTGTCCACAGCTGCTGCAGAAACGCTCTCTCCTGCCCGGTGCTGTGCAGCCTGCAGCGAGATAAGGCTTTTTTATCAGCCTGCCCTTCCCTCCTGCCTTCAGGAGATTTTGTGGAGTGTAGGAGCTGCTATGGGGCAGTTCGTATATGGGCGGTATCCCGGTCTGCCTCGGAGGGTTAAGGAGAGGTGCCCAGCACATGAAATTCCCCCCTCACATCTAAATGGAGGGAGGGCAAAACTCACCCTGGTCCAGATGGATAAATTGAATGCCGTACTTTCAACCCATTTTTTTAAGCAGCCTGACAAAACCAGGCCGTCACCTGCATTGGTTCCTGAAAGCCTGGGCTAATTTGTGATCAAAGGAAACCCCTTTTTCTTTGCAGAAGAGCACTAAATGCATTCCAGTTACGGAGTGGGGGCTGGCAACACTGTGCCAAGCTTTGTCAAAGGCTAAATTGTGTGTTCTGCATTGAAACATGCCCGGTTTAATTATAAACAAGGCAGCAACAGCAGGCAGGCACGTTTCCCCACTAGTCAGGGCAGACAAACTTGCCAGCACGTAAGCCTGAGAGATGAGATCAGGTCAAAACTGATGGTGCTTGTCATCAGCCATGGACACTGGGGCTCCTCTCTGATGCCATCTCTGGGTTCAGTTCCTAACAACCTGTCAGATCTGGCAGCCCTGTTGAGTTTGATGGGCTGCAAGTCAAAGTGGCAGAACCAGGCCCTGAGACTGGGATGGAGAGAGCGTTAAGACCAAAAAATGGGAAGACCAATTGGTTTTTTTTTCATTTCCAGAACTGAAGCTGATTATTTTTTTCTAGACTTTCCCTATGCTGCTTCTGAGGCCACCCAAAACAGTTGTGCGTTTTCAACCAAAATAAAAACAACTGTTTAGGGAACAAACTGCTATGCTGTTGTGGCAGCATGGAAGAAGAGAAATGAAACCCTGCTTAAGAATCTGAAGTTTGTTTGATTTATATGCACCACTTTATTTAGTAAAGAAGAGACTCCTCTAAGCAGTGGAAAAAATTACAGCTAATTTCTGAAAGGCAAAGTCAGCAGCGAGTTTCAGACCGCCACTGCTTATATTTTGTTTCCAAATTCTATTTTGGAATCTGATAATTAAAACAGTATTTGCTGAGCTGGTTTGCAAACACAAATCTCTGCTTAAGCCCTTTCTCTGGTGCTCCTGTCTGCAGAGTTGTTAAGAAACCATAGAGCCTTTGACTGCTCTCAGATGGAGAAGCGGGAAACTGGTCTGTTTTAAAAAAGGAATCGCATGTGTGCCTCTAGGGAAGGGAAAGGAGTTCACTTGCACGTGGTCTGGGGGCCAAACGCGACTCCTCCTCTTCGCCCAGGTCCCGGGTTAGGTCTCTCACCGCAGGGTGAGCTGGGGATGTTGCCACAGCCGAAAAGAAAATAGCGGTGAACAGTCAATCCTAGCTAATGTGGGTGCAATGGAGGTATTGTTTGGTTTACTGAAGTTCAGGTTTCTGTCTATTCCTGCAGTCTTGGATCAGTAAAAACGCTGAAGCCGATGCTAACCTAAATCTGTTCAATGTGACAGAACAAGATGAAGGAGAATATCTGTGTAGAGCCAACAATTTCGTAGGCATAGCCGAAAAGCCATTTTGGCTCCACATTCGCAAACCAAAACCAGGTAAACCACAGACTCTGTCCCAAGGCCCTGGCAACTGCAAGAATGAGCTATAACATTTTTAAGAAGCTAGTGATTAAAATTGCTATTCATTTTGTATTATACCCTGTCAACTGACGCTGAATGGCTTTATCTTATTTTCTTGCTAATTTTTTATTACGAGAATGTAACGCCTATACAGCAATTGCCATGGAAAAATTCCCACAATAAAACGACTGTCAAATTTTGGTATCAACCCTTCAAGCTTTTATTCCTTTCCTTTCCTTACAATTGAGTGCTGATAACAGAATTGCATGTTAATGACCTGTGACGTTCAAAGCTCGGGAAAACCAAGCTGTTTCAAGATTTTCACTGGTAAAACCGATATAACCAGTACACAGATTTCTGTCCCTTGGAGAAGTAATGGAGAAATAAATATCAACATTGGCTCCTGTAAGCAAACATGTTAAATGGAGAGCAGGGATGTGACTCCAGCCAGGAGAGTTTGGCTGCTGTGTTGCTCAGCGCCGCTGCAGGAAAGTTCCGTACAGGTACCTTCTTGTAATCGGCCAGAGTTACATTACAGCATCGAGGGCTGTGAAATGAACGCACGGCTTCGAGATGCCCACTCTGAAACCATTCTAAACAATTCTAAAATTCTGCATTTTTCAATGAACTAATGAATCAAAATGTTTGTATGCTCCCCTGATCAGCACTTGAGTCTTTCCCCACTACATCTCCCCTCCTTTCTCCTTTCTGTCTTTCCTCTCCTCTTTTTACCACCTTTCTTTTCCCTCCCTGTACTCACCCTACTAACCCAATGTCAGTCATATTGTGGGGGCAATTTTTCGTTTGGATGCTTTTGCTTGCATGCTTCTTTAGTGGGACAGAGTAAGAACCTGGTGAAGGGAACTTTTTTTTGCTTTTGACTACAGGTTGCAGAGGGGAATGAATAAATAAATGTGGAAGATGGGCCATTGAAAAAAAAAAACAACCCACCTTAATCTGCTTTTGAAATTTGGCTGTGGTGTCCTCACACTTGCTGGGAATGTGGCTTATTCTCTGTTTTCCCTCTTTCTATATGTGTGTGTTTTTTTTCCCTGTAGACGGCAGGTGTTAACACAACGGATAAGGAGCTAGAGATTCTGTACTTGCGAAATGTTACTTTTGAGGATGCTGGGGAATATACTTGTCTCGCAGGGAATTCTATTGGGTTCTCACATCACTCTGCTTGGCTGACGGTGCTACCAGGTATTTCCTTCTGTGCTGGCCTATTTCCCTCTCACGGGTGCCAATCTGTGCTGGCCTCTTGCCCTCTCCAGGGTGCCTTGAGGTTTTGCTGTAGAAATGCCAAGTTCCTGCAGACTGCCCCTTGCTTGGAAGAGGGCACGTTGTCCGTGCAGGGCTCTCCTCTGGGATTTGCTGTGCCGGTGGTAAATCCACACAGCAGAAGACCTCTGTTGCATATTCACAGCTGACACTTTTTGCATCGCGTCTCAAGATCTAACTGATTTTTGCAGTAATGAAACAAAATGCCCAGTATCTTTTTCTGATCTAGATAACAAGGAGGAGTTCACAGCCTCTTTGTCAGGAGACTGTTAAGTGCCAAAATTAGGATTTTCTGTCTTCTTACACTGCCGCTGGGAGAAGGAAACCTTCCCATCAGACGATCCAGGGCACCTAAATTGGACATGGACTGTAGATCATCTTGTGAAGGAACAATTCTGTCTAACCTCACATCTTAACCTAAAATTAGATTCATAAGTGGTTGGTGGGAGTGCACCCTTCCCTGCCTGTAGCATTATTTCCGCTTCACGGATGACCAGGCCAAGATAGCAGTCATCTCAAACAGAAGGTTGAGGAGAGTCATCTGTAGAGAGAGCCCAGGAGTCCTGGCTCCCAGGGGCATTGCACGCTGCCTGCTCCAGCTGGGATTGCTGAAAGCTGCAGTGGGCTTGAAACCCAAGGCCAGAGTGACCTCAATTTGGTGGTTCTTTCATGTGCAAAGATCTCATTCACAATGAAGCCAACATAGAATATGCAACAGAGGGGTCTGCAGTCCCAAAGAGGGGGACAAGGCTGTGCTGTCCCTTCACCTGCAGAATCTGCCTCTGGCTGTGGGGGAGGCGTGGGCAAGGTCCAGGAAAGCACAAGCAATATTCATGTTGAATCTCATAGGTGCTGTGCCTTGCAGATAGATGGTGCAAGAACAGACCTGGAGTATATTCAGTAGACCCCTACTGAAAGGGCACCCAAAATCCTACACACCCCACTGGCTCACCCAGTTGTAGACCACATTTGGGTCCATCTTGCAGCACATCCTTCTCGGCATGTGTTTAGGAACTGGAAACTTTGGCATTTCTAATGCTGACTTTGTCTGTGCGGGTGATTTGGATGTAATCACTTTTACTGGGGCTCAAGAGGGTTTCCTTCCCGCCCAGCCCTGCTGCCGGTGGGATCTGCTGGTCTTTTCTCTGTTTATTTGCCAGCTCTAAAATAGCTGATCTGATCCTGTTTCTGCTTCTGCCATCCTCTGGATGAGAAATCATTTCCTTTGGTTAGAAGACTAATGTCTCTGTTATTTTGAGAATCTCCTGATACTGTCTCATCCAACTGTTGTGCTATTTTTACAATGTCTGAACTCACACCTCTTATTTAAGCAAAGAATAAACAGGGAAAAATCAGCAAAAAACTTGAAGTGGAACTTTATATTGAAGTCGGATGCAGTGCGGGACATCCGTCTGTGCAGCAGCAGGCCCCCAAGCGCTGCCCACAGAGAAGGTGCAGTGTACGGCCCGTCTGGGGAACCTCTGCTTGTAAGCCCCTGCCCCCGTTACGAGAGGAGAGACATGGAGCAGAGAGCGAGATGGCGTGAGCCAGGGCAGCAGAGCTGCGGCACTGACCGTAGTGCCTGATCCCGAGAGATCTGGTAGCCCTTCCCCGCAGAAGAAGATGGCTGCTTGGCAGGATCAGGCCCTGCACTGCTGGCACAGAGGCTGGTGCAGCCCCCAGTGTCACCGACAGCCCTTTCCCCATGTCCCCCTGGTCACAGCCACCGAAGACCGGACACGGAGCCTGCTGCTGCCAGGGGAAAGCTCCCACTGCTTGCCGAAGACACTGCTTTGGGGCAGCAGTGATGTACACGAGCCGTTGGCGAGCTAACCGTGCCGGCATGACTTCATTATAAAGTTTCCCATGGGTGACTGTTCCTCTGACGCCAGCATGCCTTTGGGGGACAGAAAACCAGTCCCACCGTGGCCCCTTCCTCTGGTCTACGTGCCTGTCCTGAAAGGAACAAGGGATGAATCACAGCTGAGCATTTCTGGTCCCCCAAAAAATGTCTTGCTAGCAGGTAGCCATTGCTGACGGGCTCGTGCCATCAGCCTTCCGGCTCAGCCACCTCTCCAGGCCAGACCGTACAGCCTTTTCCCAGCATAACTGAGTTTCCATGAAATAATTATGCAGATTGCTCTCATGAGGCGTTTTCCCTGTGTGATGCCTTACTCTTGGGTGCTCTTTGAGTCCCTTGGTCCCTCAGGGCAGGCACCGGTCCAGTGGCAATCATTGCTGGGGAAGCCGAGTCAGCAAAGTGCAGCAAACCCCAGTCCTGCAGCCTTTGCACATCCGAGGCATCCAGCTATGTGGTGTGGGTGTGCGGGGAAAGCACGATCTGGGTCAGAGGGACAGCACAGACACGCGAAGACACCTTCAACCTAGAGCAGTGGTTTTCAACCTGTGGGCTGAAGGCTCATCCAAACCCCGGGGTCGTATCAAAGGGTAATAAAATTACCCCCAAAAAGTCAAACTGAACTAATGCTTTAGCTACAGCCACAGGGGGAAAACCACTGGCCTAGGAGAGTCTCCTCACTGAAGTCACTCAGAAAACTGGTGTAGATGAGCAAGTCCTCCCCAAATTCCTTGTGCTGCGTGTGTGTAGTTGTGTGCGGGCAGCTGCCCGCCCTGTCCTGACTGCCGTCTCTTGTCACCCTGCAGCGGAGGAGCTCATGGAAATGGATGATTCGGGCTCGGTGTACGCTGGCATTCTCAGTTACGGCACTGGCTTTGTTCTCTTCATCCTGGTGCTGGTCATTGTGATTATCTGCAGGATGAAAATGCCAAACAAAAAAGCCATGAACACCCCCACTGTACAGAAAGTCTCCAAATTTCCACTCAAGAGACAGGTAACAGAAAGTAGATACAAGATTCCTATTCCCCCCTATGGTCATCCCTCTCCCCCTGCCCCCACCTTGAAATTTTCCCTCTAGGTGAGAAGCTCTACCAGAAGAACATTGCCCAAGGGGGACATAAGTTGGCTGCAGTCTAGGAGTTTAACGCTTTTTTATTCGTTTCCGTTCCAGTGGAGCAGCAGCTGGTGGCAGCTGACTCTGGTTCATGAGCAGCTCCCAAGCAGCCACGTTTCTGTCGCCCTTGTCCAAGAGGGGCTGGCAGTGCAGACGTGGAGGCCACAGAAAGCACATTTTGCAGGGAAACAGTTCAGTCCAGGCTCCCTGGTGGAGCGGGGGGATTTGGGGAGCAAGAGAACATTTAATTGTGCTCGGTCCTGCTTTCGCAGGGAGTCACTGGTGATTTGAACCAGTTCTCATGGAGGTGGAAGAGGATCCTCTTTCTCCTTGCAATTAGAGATGCTCTGCCATGTGTAATTGCAGAGGGGCAGGAGCAAAAGTCACCGTGTATAACCACGTAGTGAAGGATACGGATTTCACAGCTTTGGCTGCAAGCTCGTGGTGGGCATTGACAGGGCCACAACAGGAGAAGTCACTCCATAGCCCGTACGTGCTATGGAGATGCTCTCAGAGCAACTGAACGGGTTATACCTCCTGCCTGCTCGAGGGCCCTGGCTGACCTGTCCCTGCTTTCCGCCAGCTAAAAGCCTGACCACAGGTGCCTAGATCAGTGGGCTTCTGCAGGGATGGGGGGAGATCTGGAGGTGGGGGTTTCCCATTCAGAACTTACCAGAAAGCTGTCAGTGGGAAAGTTAGCTCAAACCCTTTCAGTGATCCATCTCGGGCACTGCCTTCCCTAGGAATACAGTTGGCAATAACACTTCATTTGCTCTACCCAAGCAGGTGTCGCTGGAGTCCAACTCTTCCATGAATTCCAACACGCCCCTGGTCCGGATCACGCGTCTCTCCTCCAGTGACGGGCCGATGCTGGCCAACGTCTCCGAGCTGGAACTGCCTCCTGATCCCAAGTGGGAATTGGCACGCTCTCGGTCAGTCAACCCGTGGGTTGGGGTCCCTGTGCCTGCCAGGAGCGTCACCACCCCGGTACCCACTAATGCACCTGCTTGTTCCTCTCTCCAGCCTGACCTTGGGGAAGCCGCTTGGCGAGGGGTGTTTTGGCCAGGTGGTGATGGCAGAAGCGATTGGGATTGATAAGGACAAGCCAAACAAGGCCATCACAGTTGCTGTCAAGATGTTAAAAGGTATGGGGAGTCCACGAGGGCAGAACAGCATATTGTGCTGGGATTTCCCTCTCTTTTAAGTCTTTTATACAAACAGATACAGCAGAAGAAAGCAAGAACAGCCTTTCTTCCCCTTCACCCACATAGCCTGGGGGTGAGGGCTGTCTCCTTGCAGAACATGTAAAAGTGCAAATCCCATCAGGAAGAGGGAATGGGAATTAACCCCGTTCTCTGCCAAGGGGTAATAGCATCCCTGAGAGGAAGGGGAACTCCCTTCACTTGTAGCCAACTCTGTGAATCAGCCCACTTCTTACTCCTCCCATAACCAGCGCTGCCTGTTCTAGCAAAAGTGTATGCAACGAGGTCAGGTGGAATTTGCAGAAATGCCACGGACGAACTCCTTCCTGAGGAGCTTCTTCAGTGAAGGAACTCGATCCCAAACTCCTCAGAGGGGGACCAAAAATGTGGGAGCACTGGGCATGTTTGGATGAGTCTCTGTTTCTCATCCTTCCTCCGTGCACAGTAACCACGGCCGACACACAGACAAAATCACCCTGAGGAGTTCAGCTGGAGCGAGCAGGGCAGATGCTCCAGCAGTGAGCAGCGCGGGTTTGAGGTTACACGGGGTGACATCTTTAAAAAAATAATATTCCTCATCATAAAAGAGTTCTTTTAATTTACATTTCTTTCAGCCCATTCTGAAGTTGTTTTTGGAAGCGGGAACATTTCCATCTTTCCAAACCAAAGCATTCATTTGGGGAGGTTTTCCCCCATTTTTCTACATTTATAGAAAATGTGAGGGAGTTTTTCTACTTTTGTAGAAAAATGACAGCTTTCCATGCAAAAAATACATTCCTTCCTCTGGTCCCTCTCTCAGCTCTGACTTTCCCCCATCCTTAGCACTTTGCCCCTGGAAATGAGGGAGGGAAACAATCAGAAATAGAAAATGGTGTCAGGTACCAAAACCAACTTTTTTTCTTTAGAACTTATCAGGATGAAAGAGAAGAGGAAAGGTTTTATTGATTTCCATATGAACATTTCTCTCCATCTATTTGGTTTTTCTTCTTGAACAAATATTCTCTTTTTCTGAGATAGTATTTTTTGTTTTTATTTTGATCTTCTTCCCAAAGTAGAATAAAAACAAACAATGCCATATTTTGAGTACTGTTCCCCTATCAAAGCCCCACATAGCTAAGCAGCAGTTCTATTATCTACTTCACAAAACACTTATTTTCTTCCTGACATTTTTTTGCTTTCCTCTCTTGCTTTTTCCAGATGATGCCACAGATAAGGACCTTTCTGACCTGGTCTCTGAGATGGAAATGATGAAAATGATTGGGAAGCACAAAAACATCATTAACCTCCTCGGTGCCTGCACGCAGGACGGTACGTAGCAAAGCAGCCCAGTGCTCGCAGGGCGATGGGAGGCTCAGGTTTGGCTGTCCCTGCTGAGTAATTACTCATTGGCCGCCCAAAATGTCCCAGATGAGATTTCAGTGGTCAGCTGTTCTTCCGCTGGATGCTGACGGTGCTCTTTCTTGCAGGACCGCTCTACGTGTTGGTGGAATACGCATCGAAGGGGAACTTGCGGGAATACCTCAGGGCACGTCGCCCACCTGGCATGGACTATTCCTTCGACACCTGCAAGCTGCCGGAGGAGCAGTTGACATTTAAAGACCTGGTTTCCTGCGCCTACCAGGTGGCCCGGGGCATGGAGTACTTGGCATCTCAGAAAGTGAGTTGAGAAACCTCGTTTGGTAGAAGCGTTGGCCAGACCTGTGTGTTCAAAGGCGTGCGGTGCTTGCATGTGCATAGGCCAACTCAGACAAAGCGTTGCAGGCTTCTCCCTTTAGAGACCAGATTTTTCAGTATGAAGCATCTTGGGGTTTTTGCAGAAGGCTTCAGCCGTATGCAGTAGCTCCCATATGCCGGCTGCATCCGTGAACCATACAGCTGCACAGCCCTCGCTGTCACCTGCAGCCCCGTTAGCATCCCCAAAACGCATACAAAAACACAAGCAACCCAGAGCTTGGTGCAGTTCCTCGGCAATTCAACCTGCACCACTCGGAGAGGTGACTGGCTTTCAGATGTGCGATCCTGAGCCTCGAGCAGCAGTGGTCAGGGTGAGCGTCACACCCAGTTGTGAGCTTCCACAGTGGGAGACGTTACTTTAGACAACAGTCAGGAGCTGTGTGCACCCCTGTGCCCCTGATCTCCCTTCTGAGATCGCTAAGATGCAGAACACCTACGAGGAAGCTGAGATCCTGGGTACAGTTGTGTGTTTGCGGCTGTCACCGGCTCGGCGATGGCGGTGGATTTGGCCCGTGCCCAGAATGCTCCCTGGGGAGCTCTTTGCTGGCGTTGAGCCGGCTGCTGCGTTTGCTTACATCGTACCCTGGGATTAGTCCTGATCTACCCTGACATCAGCAAGTGGAGAATCAGGCTTTGGGTTCAGGAAGCTGTGCACCAGCCGGCGTGACCTCTGTTTGGAGGCAGGGAGCACTGCGGCAAGAGCGAGCTCAGTGTCAGATGGCAGATGTGTTCATGCTGTCACCGCAGTTCAGGGCGGATGGTTCGTGGTGGCTTTAAACTCCCCCTCTGCACAGCGCAGGCTTCTTTGTCAGCTAACAGCTATTTCGGATGTATTGGAGATGTCTTGATTTGAGGATGGTTTTGCCTTCAAACATCAGCCCGCACTCCTCTTCTTGGAGGAAACAGGGCAGAAAGACAGCTTCACATCCCAGTAAGCGCCCACAGAAGAGGAGGGTTGGCTTGCTCCTCTGTGCATCTCCTTTGGAGAGAAAAGACGCGTGGCCGTGTCAGCGCCGAGGCTGCCGATTAGGTGTTGCTAAGAGGTGGCTCCCACCGAGCATGCATGATGAGGCAGTGACACAGAAAGCGAGGAGTTAAGCAGTGCCCACAGCTTTATGAGCTTGGGAGTCAATGAAACGGCAGCTCATAAACCACACGGTGCCGTTGGTTCCAGGCGCGAGCAGCTAACAAGCCCTTATTTATTGACTTGCTCACCTTTCACAGTGCATTCATCGCGACTTGGCAGCCAGGAACGTGTTAGTCACTGAAGATAATGTGATGAAAATAGCCGATTTTGGCCTCGCTAGAGACGTTCACAACATCGACTATTACAAGAAAACCACCAATGTAAGTACAGAGCTGCCAAGCACATGCAGCTCTCCTTCTGTCAGGGAATTCGGCCATCCCTGCAGCAAGTGGCCCTTGCCTCTCTGGGGCTTAGGAGGAAGAAATCTGCTGGTGGCCTCACCTATTGAGGGGCTGTAGATAGGCTGGTCCCAGAGTCCACCCACCGTCTGTTTTCTTCCTGACAGATACTGCTGGTGCTAGCAGCAGGTTGAGATGTCCCAGCTCTGCCAAGCAGGCACTAAACTAAGAAAAACCAAGTTTTTTACCCAAGGGGAATGGAGCCCCTTCCAGTCTGCTCCACTACTGCTCAAAAAGGTCCCAAGGAGGCAACCTCTGGTCCCACCAGAGCCCTTGACAGAGGAATGGCACTTTGCGTATTTCTGGAGCTGCCTGCCTTTCATTTGTTTCTCTCTCCTGTTTGCAACTGAGCTTCTTGTCTCCACTACCAAGAGCAAGAAGATGGTCCCAGCTGAGGGCTGAGTGCTGGAGCCATTTATATTTTCTGTGGAGATGAATTTAGGAATAAAGGGCTGGAGAGAAGACCTGTGTCTTGGTTTAGAGCCCTGCAGCAGGTGTTGAGCCCTGAGAAAAAGCCACGGCTACACTGTAGTGTGGAGATGGCAGTGGAAGAGGTTGAGGGTATTGCAGAATCTGAGGGCCTTGTGAGTGCAAGGGCTCTAAATGTCCAGGCAATCCTACAAAGCCCACCATGCCCATACTGATCCTTTCCAATATCATATCAGAAATCTTTCTTAATTGCCAGGATTTCTTAATCATAAATTAATAAAAATTCTTGGGAATTTTAATTCAGATGGATTTGTCCTGTTTGAGCTGTGTTGGACAGCTGAGACCATAATCCTGTTGGTGCATCCTGCCTGTGTCCCATCTTGTCCCTGTTGTCACCCCCAGTGAGACAGTGGGTCAGGACAAAGCTCTCCCATGGCCAAATTATGCCTCAAACATGAAACAGTCCTTTCTGACTCCCTCCAGGGGCCAAGCAAAACCCAAAAGAATTATGATTAATCTAGTCTTTATTTCTCATGTATGACTGCCCGTGTTTATGACCCTGATGTAGAATGTTCCCCTGGAAACCTGGGATCAGGCCTTCTCCTTTAGCCTCCAGCAGTATCAGGATTTGATTCTTTGAGGATGTGGCCCTTGCAGTCAATCTTGGACGTTTCCCCTCAAGTTCAGCCTAAGCGGGGTTTGGACTCGGAGTCAAACTGTGTCTTCCAGCCAGAGACAGAAAGTGTTGTCCCATGCTGTGCTGCAGAGCTCACTGCATTCGTGAGCGAGGGATGCTGTTCCCATGCAAAGATTTAGATGCTCTGATATGTTAAACCTGCCTTGGCAGTGAAACACAGTCCTCTACAGAGAGCATTTACTGCAAAGATTGCCAGCGAAGATCCAGGGATCAAGTGCTGTAATCTGTTTATATGTGGCCACTACTGCTTTGCCCAGTGACCGGGAAGGCAGATGTGGTTGTTAATGAAAATGTTTCAAACTGGATTAGAAAAGAAGATTCAGATGGTGCCATTGTGGCTGGGGGAATATGCTGATGGGATGTTCCCATTGTCTTCCTAATTACAGGGTCGGCTGCCTGTGAAATGGATGGCTCCAGAAGCCTTGTTTGACCGAGTCTATACTCACCAGAGCGATGTGTAAGCATACCCGTGCTTTTTTAAAAAAACAAAGCGACAGGGAAATCAGCACCGATAGTGTATTAAAGTCAAACATACTGCTAAGCACGGGCAGGGCTCAGTCACCGCTGGGCTGCATGGAGATGCAAAAACACAGGAACCTATTCCAAGCTGCAGCTTTGCACACGTGGTTTTATTTTACTGTTATCTAGTTGCTTTCATCTGAGGATCTCTAGTTTGCTGCTGCAAAACTGTTGGAAGGCAGGCGGGTGTTTCTTGTCCGGTTTATAGATGAGGAGATTCATCCCGTAGTCAAAAAAATTTGTGGGAAAAAAAACTCCATGCAAAAAAAAATTACCCTCAGCTTCGTCCGTGCTTTGCCCCAGACAGTTACGCTTCAGCTGAGTACCTGGGGTGAGCTTGAAATATTCTGTCTGCTGTTACTGGCGTTGATTGGAGAATATTCAGCAAGTACATTCTGGGATTAATTTTGCCGCTTCGCTTATTTGCCTTTATTTTTATTAATCCTGCCTTGTCCATTTTAGTGCCTCTGCACGGTAAGCAAACAGCAGAGCCCACCTCACGTGTAAATCTGTTTCACATCTGAATTTTGCAAGGGCTGAAGTAGCTCTACATGCGCACCGGCTTTTTTATTTCAATATGTCGTTGGCAGTGGCATTTTTACAGTAGCTCAGCTGCCTGCCTGCCTGCTCCCCGAGGCTCGCCACTTGCAATTGCACAAATGAATCTTTCTATTTCTGTATTTTTCACATACTTTGGCTTTTATTGATCTTAAACCATAGTTTCCATGCTTAGGTAATGCTGCAGTGGGCATGACAGATAAATCAAAGCTAGGCAACGGGAGAGCAAGCGTGCGTGAAAGCGAAACAGCGACAGATAATCCCTGTTTTTAACAAAGAAAATGAAGAAGGCAAAAGATGTTTTTGAAAAAGAGGACTTTTAACCAGAGCGCAGCTGTGGGAGTGGAGCATGTAACATTAGTGCTGTGCTGATTTTTGTTGGGGTATTTTTCTCCCAGCTTGGCCAGTGAAATGAGTGTTGTAACAAGCAAGTTTTGGTATCAGCTTGCACAATTAGTGGCCTGTGGTTCCAAGCCTGCAATTCAGTGAAGCTGTGCATGAATAATTTGATTTGTTCCATTCAGTGGAGCTGGTGGAAGACCTAACAAAGAGCTGGGGGTAATAGATGGGCTGTCACCTATCTGATTAAATGCTCATTTCAATTTCAGACTTGGTGCCTGGGATTTCTTTGCTATTGAGTTGGATCAGCAGAGATCTCCAAGTAACTAGTAAAAATGGCCTAGGCAATTAGTCATGCTATTGATGACTTTGTTAGCTATGCATGGCTGCACAGAAATAAAGCCAAGCGGGAGGGAGGGGATATGGTGGGGGGCTTGGAAAAAAACCTCATTGAATTTTAAAGATCTTTCTTTGGTTTCCAGCTGGTCTTTTGGAGTGCTACTATGGGAGATCTTCACTTTGGGAGGGTCTCCGTACCCGGGAATTCCCGTTGAGGAACTCTTCAAACTCTTGAAGGAAGGACATCGGATGGACAAACCCGCAAACTGCACCCATGATTTGTGAGTGTGTGCTGGGGGGTGACCTCCTCACCCAGCTCCTCCTTCCCTCAGTGCCCAGATGCCACCCCAGGCCATGGTTCAGGCCAGCAGGACATCCCCGCCGTGCCATTGTGGAGCTGGCGGTGGGTGGGTTCATCCACCCTGACATGTTTTGGCTCAGCCCATGACTGCCAGGCAACGTAACACAGCTGATAATGTAACGTTTGGTGGGTGGCAGTTGGGGGTGAAGCTCTGGTGTGTCATTTTTAGGATGATTTCTCCTCCTACTTCAAGAGCATGGACTTGTGTGAGGTGATCAGTAATGAGGAGCGTGGCTCCACAAAACCCGCCTCCTCTTCCCCCCAGCTGGCCACACGCCAAGGCCACCATGGCTGAAGTTGCACTGGCCATAGCTGTTCTCTCAGGCGATTTTGGGGTGGGTTTGCAGGTGGGTGGGCATGGCTTAGCCCCACCATGGGTGACAGTCCCCTCTCCTCTCTCGTGAAGGTACATGATCATGCGGGAGTGCTGGCACGCGGTCCCCTCGCAGCGGCCCACCTTCAAGCAGCTGGTGGAAGACCTGGACAGGGTCCTCACCGTGACGTCCACCGATGTGAGTGTGGTGGGGTGGGTGCAGGGAAGGGTCGCTCGGTCCCTGGCTGGTGGCACCTGGTGTTGATGGGTCTGTTGTCCTGGCAGGAGTACCTGGACCTCTCAGTGCCCTTCGAGCAATACTCACCAGCCGGCCAGGACACCCACAGCACCTGTTCCTCGGGGGATGACTCGGTCTTTGCACATGACCTGCTGCCCGATGAGCCCTGCCTGCCCAAGCACCCCCCCTGCAATGGCGTCATCCGGACATGAGGACACCCCGGGCGGACGGACAGACGGACAGATGGACAGGCAGGCAGCATGCCCACAGAGGCGCGAGGGTGGGGCGCCAAGGACGGAACCGTAGTGAAGGATCTTCCAGTGGAACTGCGTGGTCGTGCCTGGAGATTTGTGTTGTTGTCGAGCTGTTCAGGGTAAAAACAAAACAAAACAAAACACTTTTTTTTTGTTGTTGATTTTTTTCCCGTTTGCTGTATAAAAAGTCAAGAAGCACTGTTTGGCCTGAAGGAACTAATCTCTTGCCAAGATGATCTATCATATATGATTTTTTTCTTTGTTTATTTTTATTCTTTTTTTTGTTTGTGTTTTTTGTTTGGTTTTTTTTTTCTTAACTAAGCAGAATGTTGAACCTGGGGGGTGCTGACCCTCCAGCCTCCGCACTTGTGTTTCGAGTGCCAGAGTAGCCGTTCTGTGCCTGCAATACGAAGAAGAGGAAAAAAAAAATCTTCCTTTTTAAAAAAACACAAACCCACAAACGGAAAAAAAAAAAGAGTGTAAAGAATGTAGAAATTCTTTGCTTATGCAATCTGTACATGAACCTTTTTGGTGGAGCTGAAAAGCCACGTTGCCTGCAGGGATTCATATATTTATAAAAATATCTATATTTTTGTTGTTGTCATTTTTATTGCTTCATGATCGTATTACCCATCTACATAGAAGGAATCCTTTTTGGAAGAAGAAAAAAAAAATAAGTAAAATGCAAATCATCATGGAGAAAGAAAAAAAAAAAAAATAAAAAGAGACA